CAGGCTATGTCAGGGATGGATCTGCTGTGTCAGTTCTCTGGATTTTGCGAGTGACAGAAGAGTCTGTTTTGGGGAGCTCATACCCTGAATATAGAATTAATGGAAAAATTTCCCCAAACAAAATATATGTAAATAAACATAAAGTCATTCCTCCTTCAGCCCTGCATAATAACATCCCTTTAAGTTGCCCATTGTAGGGAAAATAAATTCCATCTGTAAGTCTGGGAAACATCCTACTTAAGAAACTGCCAAATTCTTTGGATGACTGAAAAAAAATTCTTGGAAATACATCCTCCTTATTTGGTGTTATGGGCAGTTACGTTGGAACTATTCTTACCTTACTCTGTTGCTCTGTTGTTTGAATTCCTTGCCTATGCTGCACTCTCTTTGGAAACGGTCAGCGCTCAGGGTTGGTGGCAGGCTAAGAGCAGCAGACATGCTAAAGGCAAGGTGCCCGAAGTCAACTTGATGGTTATCCTCAACATTAACTTGGGCAATTAGTCTGCCAGGAGCAAATTGCTGTATTATCTTCAGTCCTTCAGTGTTCCTCTGATAAGCAGCAAGCTACAGCTGCAYATTGGCGAGCTGCAGTCAATTCCTTGTCTTAAATAGACCTAGACCTTTCCATAAAASTTAAGTGGGTAGACTTAGTTTGTAAGAACAAGTCTTTTCCCCTGTCCTTTCCCCTGGTCTTGCCTGCAGCTCACTAGGAGTTGCATGCACTGGTTTAATGAAGCTGTCCCTATCCTTCATACATAGTTGTCTGTTATGTGACTGTCACTTAAGCAGCAGCTATGAACATTTTAGCATGCCCAAATAGTGTGCTCTGTGTACTCTCTTCATTACTGAAACATATAAAATTTTTTGGTGTCCTTGCCACAGTGGTAGTGCCCCCAAGATTTACCTTACCAGAGCCTTATTAGGAAAAAAGCTCTCATAAACTGTGCTTTTTGCACAGCACACTAAAGGGAGGTACCTTTTTCATGCAGAAATTGGTGATCAGAGCTGGGACTCACAGCAGAAATGCACTGGCTCATGAGTGCTGCTGAGAGGAGTCGCTGGAGACTTTAACCTCCTCACTAGGCATAGTAGCCTGTAATGTTTATCTGATGTTTATCTGATGTAATAGTAATTGTTTGGCTAAGGATGTGGTTGATATACGAAGGTAAAAGTAAGGAAGMYGTGGTCAAGGCATATGAAGGGTAACAGATGCATTTAAAACCATTTTCTCTAAAGTGAGAGGAAAGACATTTTAAAGTGGTGAGAGTGGGAGGGACAGGTATGTCGAGCTGGTCCAAAGACTCAGTTTGTGTGTCTGTGCGAAAGCCCTGTGCATGGCTGCTGAGCTCTCAGCCTGGCTAGTACCTGAGCCCCACCTTGCTTAATGTACCTTCTTTTACCACATTGCTAATAGGTTTTTTTTCTTTTTATGCTGTAAGTTCTTCAGGGCAGCGGTAGTTCTGTGTCTGCCTGGCACACTATTGTCTGGACATTTTGGCAATCAGACAAGAGGCGAACAGCAAACATCGAATAGCTGTTTCCACGTCGCTGCCTTGCAGCCGCGATGCCACTCTTAATAATTCAGGAGCGATGGGAGAGGTGGGAGCACAGGGGCTGCTGCAATCTCTGTTCCTCCCTGGCACATCCTCCTTGGTGGCCCTGCGGTTTCCAAGGAGACGGGAGTCGGTGGTCCGGCCCAGCCACCAGCTGGACTGGACCGGGACCTGCGGGGTGGCCAAGGGAGGCGATGCTGTTGCCTGGGCTTGGTGCGCTTCTCCTCTTTGCCAGAATGGTTTTGGTACCTTTGGGTAAAGGTGGCGGTCCCCAGTTCTAGCAGAGATGTAAAGAGTCTGTTTAGAGGAGAGTCTGGAGGAGAGTTTAGTAGAAGTGCTATTAGAAAAGGGGGGGTTGCCTGAGGAGTGGGGTGAGACAGCACAGAAACTGAATTGTAAAACCTGTCACTGGTATCAGTTGGCGTCTGGGAGATTGTCACACTCTCGCCACCGAAAGGTGGTTTAGCATGTTTGAAACGCGGTGGTACTTGAGGTTGAAATGCCCCAGTACACATTTATGGGGGAGGACTAAGGGCCCTTCATTGAAATTTGCTCCGAGCGATCTCCTCTGGTGTGATCAAGGCCACATCTCATTTTTAGCAATTATAAACATGTATCCTAGCACCTCTAGCACTGTCTATACTGACTTGCATTGATGTCAGGTTCAGAAGCTAAGGAAGAAGAACCATAGGAGAGAAACAGAGCAGCCCTTGGTGTCTGCAGGTTGTCTTTGCTGCTTAGGTGCTGATGAATCATTGGAATTGTTCTGAGGAAATGACCACAACCCATTCTGGGACTTGGTGACTGCCTTGAGATGGGCAGTCAGACTGTTCTCCAACTACAGGTGGAAGGAAGCTGTTCCATTCAGTACACCTTCTTCACTGATAGACTAGATAAGGCTAAGCAGGGCTTTCTATACCATGTTAGTTTGTGGCAACTGCCCAGTGACTGCTTGCCTCCTTGCTTTGGAGATGGACCAGGAGAACGACTTAAAACCCTTCTTTTGCATACTGTACCAAATTTTGACTTCCAGCACTATTTTTTCATGTCAAAGAACAGCCTTACTTATGGATAACCAGAGGATATGTGTGTATAAATATGTGTCTGTCTGGCCAAGTGATTCTAGATGGCTTATGAGAGATTCTGTGGCCTTGGGATGATATGCTATGGATCCAGTCTTCTGCTGGAGGAGATTCGTCACTGTATAAAGTTATGAAATACTTCTGAAATATTCACAGCAAGCTGTAAAGCTTCCCTATAGGCCCGCTTATGTACACAGGCAAGAATGGCACACAGGTAACGTACTCCAGTATAGTTAATTGAGCTTGAACTTAAACTAAATTTATGAGTATGTAATGAGCTTGTTTCTCCTTTGAGGAGCCTTAGAAATAGTCTACAGAGCTTTGTCTGTCCTCCTGCTGCCTCCCAGGAGTTTGTGGACTCAGGGTTCACAACCATGAACAGTCTATCTACTTCAAACTTGCAATCGGGAAGAACACTTATGAGAAGGTGCTAAGTATGTGATAGCAAAAGCTTGGTTCTCAYAATGCAGTGGGTTAGCTTGTACTTTTTGTTTTCATTTGCAGTTGTGTTTTGGGGAGAAAATTAGCATTTGGAAGAGTAACTTGGCAGGAGAACGTTTGCTCTGAGAAACAGTAGGTYAAAACAGCGTTCTACTCTAAAAATGGCACTACAGGGCTTAACTTTGGTCCCCTCTGTATCTGACATGCCAAATGTGTTCATTTTACTAGAAAAATGTCTTTTATGTATACATCCAGTTCAGCAGACAGCGTCTGAATTTTGAAAGATGAGTTAATTGTCTTTCTAATGCATCCTCATCTGTAGCAACTGTTCTGCATTCCAGAGTTCTGCTCTTGGAGACCACATTGCTTACAGTGGATGTGCAAGCAAGTGTCTGATTGGAAGGAAAGAAGGAACAATTTTGTTAATACAAAGTATGATAGAATCTAGCACTATGGTCCTTAGCACTGTTGATTTTGCCCAAGTCTAAGTATACTAAGCACATTATTATCTCTGAATTCAGAAGAGGCTCCTGAATCCAGAGAACATATTTATCATGATGTAATATATATTAAGTCATTTTGTAGTTTAGAACTGCACTTATGCAGTTCTTCATGCTGTGATGTGTCTTACACTCAGCCAATTTGTTGCCTTCTGGTTTGCTACTGGAAGAGTCAACTACAAATTTTAAATTATTTTGGTTTSCTTTTCTGATAGACTGCCACTCTGACAAAGTATTGTGGTTCCTGCAGCAGTCTTGCCCTTACTCYGTGACCTTTTCTTCTAGTAAAGTAGATATTCCAGTTTGTGAGTATAGTGACTCATGTTAGCTTTCAAAACAATTGACCTAAGTCTCTTGCATAGAAAGACACTTAAAGACTCTGTCAAGAGGTCTATTTCTGAAAAATGTATTTAAAATCCATGTGGGATATGAATGCAAGCTCTGTTGCARGGTTTTGTGGAAAAACAGCTGTATTTACAGATGAGGGGGGAAAAGGCATTAGACAATTAAAAGCAATATAGGGTGCTGCAGTCCATTTGCAGGCTCTTTCAGTTCAGTTTCCTCCATCTGTGCTTTTGCTAGATGATAAAAGTGTTTCTTCTGGCACGCGTGAGGAAATGATCTTATCTGTGACTCAGTTCCCGCCTTAGCTGATACTGCTGATGGGCTTCATAGCAGAGGTGTTTCCCTGTGGTTAGACCTGAAATGCCACTCAAGGAGCAGGCACATTTGTAACTATCTCACTTCAGCTTGTGAAAGAACTCCACATCATCATGAAAGAACTCCACATGTGGAGTGCTGTTTCCAATTCTGGGCTCCCCAGCCCAAGAAAGACRTGGGTTTATTTGACCAAGAGAAGGCCGCAAAGATGATTAAGGGACTCCATCTCACATACAAGGATTGAGAGAGCTGGGACTGTTTAGCCTGGAGAACAGGGACAGGGGGCCCTTCTCAATGTTCATAAATATCTAATGGGAAGTTTTAAGGAGATTGGGCCAGAATCTTCTCAGAGGTGCCAAGTGACAGGACAAGAGGCAATGGGCACAAACTGAAATGCTTGAAATCCCACTTGAATATGGGAAGACACTTTACTGTAAGAGTGGAGAGAGCGGGGGAAAAAAACCCCACAAAGTCTGGATAAAAAAAGCAGGGCAACCTGCCATAGYTGGCACTGCTTGGGCAGGCGGTTGAACCAGATGATCTCCAGAGGTCCCATCAAACCATAGTTATTCTGTGATTCTTATTCTGTAGCATGAAGATAAATATTTAAAGAATGCTGCTCTTATCTTCTGTGTTTGAACAGCCTATAGAGGCTGCTCAAAGAATTCCCCATTTTTTGGACAATCCTGAGTTTTGGTTTGCCATTGAGCACCCCTCAGAGAGGGTTTTGAAAGTTTATTTGCCTCTCTGCTATGTATTTTCAGGTGCTCTCACAGTTGGCCTTGTGCGACAGTGTCAAACCATCCATGGACGTGACAGGACCTGTATTCCTCCACGGCTGCCTCCTGAGTGGGTCACTACGTTATTTTTCATCATTATGGGAATCATTTCACTAACTGTCACATGTGGTTTGCTGGTGGCTTCCCACTGGCGAAGAGAAGCTACTAAATATGCCCGCTGGATAGCATTCACTGGAAGTAAGTGACCTCAACTACACAGTTGACCTGTATGCAGGGTGAACTGGTGGAGCCTAGAACAACACTACCAAAGGGCCAATTAAGTGGCTGTACAGTGCTATCTGGGAACAGTGGTAGAAGGGTTCTGTTTTCTGAAAAACATCCTTTCTCTTGAAATACCATGTTTGGGAGAAAAATAAGATTCTTCACCTTTTAAAGGTTGATAAACCAAGTGACTGATGATCGAGAGAGGTTAACTTCTAGTGGACTGAAAGTGAGAGAAAGGCCTTGCGTTCCCTGATCCCTTTGCCTTCCTTGGGCAATGCCACTGACTGAACTAAGAAAATGAGCAAAGATAGAAAGGCCAGTCCTGAAGCATGTGACTGATGGGAGTGCAGAGTGATGAACAATTATATATCCAGTAATCCCTTTTAAAAGAAGAGAATAACTTTAAATCCCTTCCCTTAGATAGAGGAAACAGTTGATGGGTCTGAGACTTACTACACTCTGAAATCTGTCCCTACTTAAGGTGTCTCATGAATATCTATGAGGGATTGATGCTAGTTCATTCCCACCTTATGCTCACAATGGGTGTTTTATTCAGAGTATCTGCATCCTAATTGGCTATGCAGGAGGATTGCCCACTGCAGAGCATCTGCTCTGCTTCATAGCACTGAGACTTTTTCTTCCTCTAAGTGACTTGCAGCAGTGCCTGTGCTGGAGGAGGAGTGTTGATGTTTTCCTGCCTCCCTGGGTTCTGCTCCATGTGAGTCCCAACACAAAGCCTCATAGCCRAGCTAAGCCTGCTCTAGCAGCCCTGTGTTTCTGCAAAGTGGAACGTATCCTGTGGCTGCTGTTATAGCAAGTAAGGGACATAACTTTCAGACTTTCTTTTCTCGGTGTGTACGTGCATGCTAAAGGCTTAGCCCACCTGTGAAATAGTGCCTTAATGGAGACAGCATGAAAAAAATCAAAATCTGAGGGCTTTTAATTTGGCTTGAATTATGCCATACGTCTAAAGGTAGCATGAACACTAGCTAGACAGTGCAAGCCTGTGGTTTAGACAGACATGAATCTGGTGTAATGGGAGTCTGTGACATCTAATATGAGTGAGAGTTAAACTTGTTTTGGGGGAAGGGACAAAATAGAAASCCCTCAGCTCCAGCAGAGGCACACTGAGATGTTTGTACAATCAATGTCATCCTTCTGACAACTTTGCTCCATGGCATATTAAATTGATAGTGGAGCTTCTGCAGACAATCGAGCTATTGAAATGCTGAATTYATTGTGATTGACTTTTATTTTCCAGCGAATGATTCAAATAGCTGACAGAAGTATTACCGAATGTTCCATCCCAACTTTTTCAGTTGCCCTGGTTTATCTGTACATATTTCATGTACATCTAATGTGTGCAGGGAGGGTTTAAACTCAAAATGACACATAAAATTAAGATCCTTACAGTGAGCTGAGCTCAAAGCTCCAAGGGAAAGAGATTTTTATTTGAGTACTGTATTTTAATTGCTGATTAAAGTTGATACCGTAGCTCATTAAGTGAAGGATTTTTTCTTAATTCACAGCTTATATTTTGCTCTTCAAATATTTTACTTTTTTTTTTTTAATATCTCCAGTCATTAAATGCTTGCATCTTTAGTTTTATACTACTCTGAATGTTGGTTTAGGAAAAAAAAGTCTGTTGCCCTAAAGCTGCTTTTTCCTTTGGATTCCTTTAGACTTCCAACATGTCCATTATTAGAAGTCTAAATAGAGAAAGACATTGCTTTATTTCAGCACTTGCTCTTTTGCCTTTTTGTTATGAGATGTTTAATAATGAAACATATTAATATTAATCTCTTGCAACTCAGAATTATTCATAATTCCATTAAGAGGTGATCACTGAATTGTAGAAATTCCAAAACTGAACTTCTTTGGTATTTATTTCCAATGCACAGGAGTTTCTGATCTTTGTATTCCTGTCAACAGTGATTATGGGAAATTTTATTGCTTAATTACATCTAAGTAAAATCATTTTTGGAAGAAAACAACAGTGCATGGAAGGTAGAGCCCCTTATTTTTGAATATGGTGAGAGTGACTTCTATGATTCAGTGGATGGCAACCCTAATTAGAAATCTATTTGTAGATCAGTATTAGTGAAACATGAAGCCATTTGGAATAAGCTTGAAATATCATGAACAAGTCTTTCCTGTGAAATGGCAAAGTGCTGTATTTTGAAAACACATGTAACTCATTAGGAAAGAGTAGGGAAAGCATCATAGTTTTCTAAAATCTCTTCTGCAGGCAATTTCAAAACTGAACAGCCCACTACAGGCTATTAGCAAATATTTGTCTCACTAAACTTTCTGAACACAACGCAGAACGTGCCATTTTAAGTGCTGGTAAAATCTGCTGGGGTTGGCAATGGCAGCTCTGAGGCTCACAGCTCCCTTCCCCATGCAAGGGGTGCAGTTAAATCACAGTGTCTAAGGGCAAAGGAATCTTCCTGCTCAGGCCTCCCCCTCCAACTCCAACAAGAGTCTGGAGAGGCTGGCAAGAGGTTGCTCTTTCCCAGTTCCTGATAGAATCTGACCCCACTGGGTAGAGTCAGTTTGTGTCCAGATTCTCTCTGAGGGCCCTTCTGCATAAGGAGGAGAAATGCTGCTCAGAAAAGTCATGAAGAGAGTCTTTTTCCTAACAGTACATGACTGTCTGAAATACCTGTTTTTGGAGGCAGAGAATGAAGACCTCTCTTGCMGAAAAGAAAGGTCTTGCAAGTGCAGACCCCTGTAGCTCTTCTAACACCACCACAAAGGGAAAGAAAAGCTAGCTGATTCCCTCATCTGATTCACGCCATTCCTGTGAAAGACCCCAAGGGACCATTCAGTGTTTTTCTCAAATGATGTATCTGTGGAGTACAACCATGCAAACCTTCCTCAGCGCTTGGTTCCTTTGCTCACTTTACAGAGCACAGTATGATAATTCAGGGAAGAAGAGTCCAGGTCATAAAGTAGTGCTGATTGCTCTGGCATGCCTATACCAAGCTCTTCAAAGAGAAACAAAGGTAGGATGGAGGTTTTCTGTTATAACTAAAATCTCAAGATAGTATTAGGTTGTTGGGTTTGGACACTGTGTTCGATTGCAGTGACTTGATATCCAGGCAGCTTGTCTCAGTTTCTGTGATTGCAATTTTCACTTTCATTTCTTACTGTTATAATGGCTGTAGATTAGATCCACAGGCCCTCGAGTGCCTGTTTTTACACATGTCCCTCTGTTCCAAGCAGATTTTATTTCTGCTACTGATTTAGGCAGAGGAAGCTTTTCTTTCTGTTCCTAGCAAAGATCACAAGGGAATAGCTCTCCTGCAGTATGAATCACAACATTTTCTCAGCAGATAATGGTTTCTCTCCGTGTTAGATCATATTTCCTAATCATATTGAGAATAAGATTTGTAGTTTTCTTAGGAAAACTAACTGCACTTTTTCACTTCTTATATTTCTTGTGGAYTTTTTGCTTGTCATCTTGTAGATAGCTCCAGATTTCAACAATGTCTCTACCATCAGTTACTGCTAAGAGTGATCCTGTCAGGCTTGTCTAGCCAAAGGACACATGAAGGACACCAGTTTGATSTCTTAGGCCTCTGCTGTATCTGTTGACCTCTAAGGGGATGCATCTGAGAGAGTGTTTGCTAGCCCACCTTTTGTATCCCTCCACAACCATTGGTGGTTTTACTGCACAGAAATTTGGCTTCCTGGTTCCCTTGTGAAAGGGCTTTGTGGAGAGCAGAGGTTATTTCTCTCCCCCAGATCATACTGCGAGTGACAGAAATCATCTAAGAGCAAATGCAGTTTTCTTTCTTTTGCTGTAGAGAAGTCTCTTTCAAGTATAACATGATTCCTAATGACATGATAGGTATTTTCACCTGGGGCATAGATGCCATCAAAGCTGTCACTGCAGTGAGTCCTGTGGTGCTGAATTTGCACAACATAATCAAGAATGGATTCCATGGATTCCTTCTTGGTGTTCATGGCATTMTTGGTGCCACTTGAGTCTTTATGTGTCACCTCTTCCAAGAATGAAGCATTGCAGACTCATAGCTGTACCTGTGTGTTTATAGCAGCCAAAGATCTGGTCGGTTGTTCCTTTGCACACCTGCTACACCACTGTGGCCTGCACCACCACCTGCTGCACCACTGGCCTATTTCCCTCTAGCTTCTATGCCGCTTCATCGCTAACTAGGCCTCTGACATAGTGATGCAGTGAGTTGGTAGCAGACAAGCCCCTGGCTTTGCTATTGTTCCAGGTATCTCTGAAACGGCTCCTTTTGTTGCTAGTTCTACTTGCAGTTATCTGAGTCACTTTCCTTTTCAGAGTGGCTGTTAGGTCATCTGCTGTTTCAGACGATAGGATTTGATGAACCTGTGAGAAACTGTAAGTGTTGCAATCTCTCCAATGTATTCCTGAGGACAAATAAATACTGTTAGGTTCCCTAATTAGAAACCCTGCCACAGCTTGTTCTCTATGGCGACCACCTCATTAGTCTTCTGTATATTGTAAAAATTTTGGCTCTTGCAGGCCTTCTGAGAATATCCTCCAAGTTACATAGACTCAACTGGAAAGGGAGCTCAGTTTTTGTCACATTGGAGTAGTTGCTTCTTTGAGATGTATCAGGGGAGGAGATGCTGGACAGAATACTTAAATCATATTTCTGCCCTCTTTCCAGCAGCTACCAGAAATTTTGGTTATTTTCATGTCTAATGATTTGAATATTCATGATGGACTTGATTTGGGGAATACAAGTAGCAATGGGGTGGGACAATCACATTGTTAACAAATATTGACTATACCACAAACATCTGTCCCTTTGCTCCCCAGTGAACAAGGGGCTTCTTGAGTTATCAAAAGATTGGCAACAGATGCTGGTTTCTGTTATGCATCTCTAAACAGGCTAGCCTTCCTAAAGGCTACACTTATAGCTTTTTCCTTCTTTTAACATGCTGTATCATTTGATGTTGCTGTGACTGGGTGCTCAAAACAAAATTTAAAGATTTAAAGGAACTCCTCTCTATTTTTTTGTTTGACGGTCACTATTCAGAACTAGATTAGATTATCATACTTGCTTTAAAAGAAACTGTAATAATTTTTTTTTCTTCCAAATTTGTCTACCCAAGGAAGAGTGTTTTCTTTGCGCTCATATTCCTTATGATTTCAAAGTTCTTTAGAGGTTGCTGGAGATGCTTCTAGAAATTCACTGAACTAATACTAAGAGATATGGAGATTTACAGTTGAGTTTACAGGTTATGCAAGAAATTCCTATCCTTTAGCTAAAATTCTTCTACAAGAGTATATGCTAAGATAGCTGAACACTTCCTCTCTTGGATTCTTTKTCCTCTGTAGTTTCTATTTTTGGATGAATTTGTCATTCAGTCTTTTCTTGCCAAAACTTTCCCGTAGTTGAGCCTTCCTAATCTGACATAGCAAATGAAAATCTCATTCAGCAAAGCCTGTCTCTGTAAACTAACAGTGCAGACTGTACAAAGGAAAATTGTTTGGAAGCCCTTGCAGCCGAGCGTGTGCACTGCTATTTGGAAGACAAAAGTTGGCCAGTTACATCTGTAGTAAGTGTTCTCTAAAATGAGTACGCACATCAACATTCTGCACAGTGTCTGCCTGTGCAAAATTTAATTTTTCTCTTGTAGCCAGCTGAGGGAGAGGTGAGATAACTGCACCCTTCTGTCCTCTGCTGAGAACATCAGGAGACACTGGCGCACACTCCTCTCGGCAGGTCAGAGCTGCTAGCAGGTCTGAGGGACACTGGTACACCCATGTACTACACACTACCACATCATCAACTTTGCAGAGACAAATAAAGAGACAAATGTTCTTCTGCCATAGGCATGAAGCCATCAAAACTTTTCCAATTGTGTAGTTCTTGATGGTGGTAAAGCAGATTTCGTCTTGAAAGTGTAGGTGGTGTTCTCAGAATTTTAAACTTTTCCTGTAAGTATGTTATTGTTAAAGTGTAATAAAAGTTTTGTAAATAAGGAAAAACTGGATGTAGTAGGAAACATGTTAAGTTGTGGTAATGTGACTCATCCTCAGGATATTGTTGAAACTGTTACTGAGGATGTTTTTGATGATAAGGAATTTGCTAGTACTGTTATATTAAAGCCAAGGTATAAGCTCCCTCTAGTGGCTAATTTGATTTTTTTTCGAGTGAGTATTTTTATTTAGCTGAAAGACTGATTCTAGTGTTAGCAGCTTTTGTGTAAGCTGCTTCCTATGTTGAGGAATGTAAATAACAGCTGATGTGGATTGTGATTTTATAAAACTGATCTATTTTTGTTTATACCAAATCATGTTGGACACTTCAAATGCAGATTCATCATACCCATATTCATATTCTCTTTTGCAGAACATGTATTTATCCTCAAAGCTGCGACCTACACTAAGCAAATTACAAGCTTGGAGCCTTGAGCATAAATAGATGTAATAAACGGATGGTCTTGGGTAATCGTCAAGTTCATAAAAATGATATTTGTCTTGCCAGAGTGTTACTTGCTATTACTAACTGCAGGATGTGTATTTAGCTGGGAAGAATGGCAGAGAAAATTTAAGTGGTAGAGAAAATTTAAAAATAGTAGAGGCCACTCCAGGTCATCATTTTCTCATTTGAAAAGACAAGAGTCTTTGCCTTGCTAAGGGCTGAGAGCTCAGGTGAGCTACTAAATTTGTTTTACCTCTTTGTTTTAGATGCTTTGGAAACAAACGCGTGCAGTGCTCTTTAACCATCATCATAATCCTGCTTCCTGTGCAATTACTGTTTTATTACAGACAGGACAGCACCTCTGGCCCTAACTAACAAATGATGAGCAGCAGTTTGTGTTGCCCGAGTGAATAAATTAGCATGTAAGGCACCTTATTCAGACAGGAGCGTTGTGGATTGACTTGAATTTTCTTTTTCCATGGCTAGATTTATTTGTAGATTTTGAGGACTGAAGTGTATTTCAGTGTTAGAAGTGCATCATGTCAGGAGATGGTCATATCTGTATTTGAAAGTTTGATGGGAGAATAGAGCAGATTCGCTACCTTTGTCTTCCAGATACAATTTAGTTTGGTTAAATGGATATTGGGAAGCAACATTCCACTCAGAATAAATAAATATGTGAAATGAAGTTGAAATGTGTAGTGTGAAATAAGCAGCAATAGTTGATTTAAGTCARCTAGTAGTAGCTAACTGTTAGCATCAGATGAAGTTTAGTATTATTTTAGAGAATTTTTAAAAGCAATTTTGAATATACAATCGGCTCAAAAGCTAGTCCTTTTTATCATGAAGAATGTTTTACTCCTTAGAGAAGTTGTGTTTAGAAGTCATTCTTTTGGCCAAGACAGTAGAATCCTGTTTGTTGACATGTTCAAATTACACGAGGTTACTTATTCAGGGATATCTTACAGGAATACTGAAATTGTCCTCAGGGACAGATTACAATATTGGATGTTCTCTGCTAAATCTGAGCAGAGCACTCAAATGGGCTGCGATGAATGTTGGTCACTACCCTCTGAAGGCCTGGGAAATCTATAATGTAAGTTTAATCAATGTCTTCAGTAGGAATTAGTTTGTGTATCCGCAAAGAATTTGTTGCAAGCACAGATCATTCAACTTTTCCACTAAAATGCCTAGATTAATTTAATTCAGAAAGCTTCCTTTGGACTCCAGAGAAAAATCTTACGGACGTCTCGTTAAGGAAACATTCATATTACTTGAGGAAATGATGTTATACTTTAATCTAAAAGAAATTGTAATGACAAACTGCATTTTCTGTTTTTAGCAAAACTTTTACAAAAACAGAAAAAAATGTGTGGAAGAAGAGGGAAACTACATTTGGAAAAAGACAGTCTTTGATAACAGAAAAGGAGTTTCTTCAATGTTGAATGCCTTTTTTTTTTTTTTTTTTACCTTGTCTTTGGGGGAAAATGGCACTGGAAAAGTAGTGAACTCTGTGATTAAACTCATGAGTGATGGAAGAATTATATCCTCCAGATTTACATTATGTAAAGACAGTTCATGATGCGGTGAACAGAACTGGAATTAAAATCAGGGTGGAGGTGGTTTAGCCTTTGTTGGGAGTGCACTTGAGATCTTTTAAAAGGAAGCTACAGAGAGATTACTCAAGTATTTCATGCGAGAAATCTAGGTGCTAGAGTATCTCAGCTCTTCCAATTGGTCAGAATATTTGACTTCCTTTTCTGTACTGCACTATAAACTGATAAATATTTTGAGTTTTATACAATACTGACTTTTTTCCTTTTTTCTTTTTTTGCAGTGATTCTATTCTGTATGGCAGCCCTAGTATTTCCAATAGGATTTTACATCAATGAAGTTGGAGGTCAACCATATAAACTACCCAATAACACAGTGGTTGGGTCTTCGTATGTACTATTTGTCTTATCCATTTTCTTTACAATAGTGGGACTTCTATTTGCTGGTAAAGTTTGTTTACCTGGCTGATGAATGTCTGAACTATGGGACTTTGTATTGGAAAAGAACAAGACATCAGAACTGCATTCTCAGGCTGATGCCTAGGTCAGACTATCAAATCCTTAAAAGAGGAATGCTTGGACTTGTTCTCACTATGCACTTTGGATTAAAAAAGGAGAGCCTTTCCCATAACCAAATACAGACAACGCTGACTAATCTCCTGAGCATATTTAATGCAGTCAGGTCTGCACTGTGATAGGAACTAGTGAAGAATGCTTTACGCTAAGAAGCATAATGCCCCACGTTACTGTACTGTTCCTGTTTTTAATGTCTAACGATTCGGAAGTCAAAGTATTTATGAACTTTGTGGTAGACCAGAGGGTTGCAGAGGAATTAAAGTGAGGCTGGCCTCGCTGTTTAGGAGATTAGTATTTTACATCTTCCTTCTGATGAGCAAAGCCTTTGGCACCCAAATGGATCAATCTTGCATTACTGCACCAGGAAACCAATAGATCAAAACGTGTTCTCTGAAATGTATGTAACAGCAAGATGACATACATCCCTTTGCCCCCATCAGTGCTAGAAAATCACTAAGGAACATTTTAGAGGGGGGGTTCTTCCTTATATTTATATAAATATATATATAAAAATATATATATATTTTGCTGATGCAGTATACAGTGTGTGTGTATGTGTGTGTGTGTGTGTGTGTGTGTATATATATATATATATGTATATTTGTATATGTATATACACACAAATGGTTCCTGGAAAAGAACTCAGAACGCTTTGCTAGCAAAACACTGTGGTGTGCAAAACTAGAACTCGATAGAAAAAAGCCATTTCTCTGAAGGCCACATAGCTGAGAGTCTTCAGTTTACCTCATTCTTTGTAGCAGCCCTTGATTTTAACAGTTTTTTGTAATAGGTACAAACGATCCCATGCCTTTCTAGGTGCAATTTTAAGTTAAGCTAAAATTCTTTTTATGGTAATTTATTTGTATATGAGGGTGAAAGGTGAGATCATGTCATACCTTTAAAGTTAAAATCCTAATTTTGGGAACTGACACTATTTAAATTATTAGCAACTGTTGTACAGAAAGTCTCGTTTTCTAGTGTTTTATTACATTAACATTCATACATGGTCAAGCACAGCCGTTTTCATAGTTAGGCCTTTCTCTAGCACATGTAAAATGCAATGTTTAAACACTGCAAACACTATTCCACTGTAAAGATGGATGAACTTCATGTTCACGTAAGCATTAATTCATCTTTACAACAACTAAGCAATATAATTGTTATAATTGTTATATGCTTTGTTCACTAAGATTGTTATCATAAATGTGATTTAAGAACAATCTAAATTTGGAGTATTCCTCACTGAAAGTAGCTTTATTTTTCAACATAAAAATAAACCTTTGGCTCTACAGGTGGTCTAATATTTTGCTACAAAACTTAACCTTCTAGAAAGAAAAAAAAAAAAAATTAAGGTCCTTGGGAAGTTGCCTGCAGTATCAGTCTTTATCTGACACTTGACAGACGGTTGACCTTTCTGAAGTACAAAAAAAAAAAAAAAAAAAAAAACCTTCCACATGCTGAAGAGCTGCATTACTGAACTCAGATTTTTCTAAATGTAAGTGAAAGTGTACTTTAAGAATGAGGGCTTTATAATTTAACAGTTTCCAAAATATTCGCTTACCACATAAGCTTAAGTGTTTGAAAAGAAAACAATTTGCACAATTATTCTAAACTGTGTGCCGTTTAGACCCTAATGGGTCCTCTACCACCTCCTCCTCCTCACTCTTCTCCTACCAAGGTATTTTAATTAAAAAGCAATGCTGAATTAAATATGATTTTTCAGTTGACATTTTGAAGGAATTTGTCATTGCAGTGCTCAATAACTTTTTTTCCAGTCAATTCACTCGCATATAGAAGGAAATGTTCACAGTAAAATAAGTTTTTCTAAAGTATTCTAACCTGTAAATATAGCCAGATTCAAGCATAAACTGCTGATTTAAATTTGATTTGGTTCCTAATTTAAGCTTTGATCTGCGTTGTAATCTGATCCCCAGTGATGCTGGTGAAGATGTGTATGAAGGAAATATAAAAGACTTAGTCTGCTGGATGGGTGTCTAAGTTTTCAGCATCACTTGTGTTTCGTAAGGTACAGTATTGACTAAAACTTAAATCCTAAATTGCAAAAAGCAGAGCTTCTTCTTTCTTGTAATGTGAGTCCTGTAAATAGTAAGATATTTTTTTAAACTGGAACACAGGCGTGAGGGGGGAGAGAGTTTCTCAGCTGCTAATATTTCCCCCCCAGGCTCACTTATTTCAGTTACAGTAACATCACGTATAATGTGGATTTAGACTTAGATTAAATGGATCATCATTTAATCAAAAATATAAACACTCTGGCTGGCTGGAATTTTATCTGATCTGCCAATGCTACTGCTATGAATTATTAAATGATAGCATAGATTTAACTAGCAGATTGTTTGATTAAATATTTGAACATTTAAAGTCCAGAAATAGTCATCTGCATTTTAAAAAACACACTCTGTAAATGAAGAGACAGCTGTCAACAGTTGCTTTTAATAAGGTCACTAAGTACTATATAGTACAGTATTAATTTATAGCAGAAAATCATATCTTGTAAACTGTATATAAAACACTGTTTTATGGTGCAATCATTTGTCAAACTTGTCTGTTACTTTTGTTTTAAAGTTGTGTGCATTCTTTTCATACCTAAGAGCATCACTGTAAAATCTGCTGAATACTATTTAAAGGTTTTATTTGCACAATGTTTAGTTCTAAACTACAGGAAGTTCATACTGAATGTGCCTGAACACCTGTAGACTTTTTCAGCTCATGAAAAGCAAATGCTTCCATATGAGTTTTCTCCAAAAGTAATTCCGTCTTATATGGTGTTTACATAAACTTTGCTGCCTCTGCCAGCTGTTATGTGTAATTTTCTGAAGGACAGCTCATTTCACACGTTATTAGAGAYCCTCCATTCTTTGGCTTCCAAAATTCCCCAGAAGGCTAGACAGTCTTGTCGCAGTTTAATTTGTGCAATTTTACAGTTTATTTGGCTAACACAACAAGATTGGAAACTCAAGATGCCTTCAGAAGGAGAGCACTAGTTAATTTGCCTGTACAAATCTTATAGCCCAAACTTGGACAAAATAACCCATCGGGAAGCTGCTAGTCCTGGCTGCGCTTCCTTGGATCACCTTGTAATGTCCGGGTTTCAGTTACCTTGCTGGCAAGTGGCACCATTTTAACAAGCCCACTGGCAGCGTGCGCGATGCCTGAGCCTCATCTTCCACTTGATGTAAAAAACTAAAGCAAAAACAAAACCAGTTTTGGGCCCACTAATGTAGAATAGCTGTGTTTCAGAGGCGTTACTTGACCACTTCAGAACACAACTGTAGCTTGTTGAAAGCCTCTTGAAGGATGGCAGTGATGAAGGAGAATGAACACGCGGTGTCTGCACAGGGGTCGTCCCGCCGGATAACCCCAGCCTGCGCCCCCCCCCCCCCCATGCCCTTTGTTAAGGATTGTTTTCTAATTGGTTAGAGCATTTTTCAATTAATGATTTCCGAGCAAATGTTAATACAGACTGTATAAAATGAACATAATTTTCTTCACTTGTATTTTTGTTATTGAGCAAGTTTATCAAAATAAATTGTCTACGAAAGCACCTGGTCCCAGCTGCGCTGTCTGGAACCCCCCGCCCACACACRCACACGCACCCCGCCCGCCCCCCGGAGCGCTCTGCGCACGCGCCACTCCGCCCCGCGCGCGGGCGGCGCCCCTCCCGCCCCGTCTCCCGCGGCAACGCGGCCGCGCGGAGCGCTGAGGCGGCGGCTGGCGCCTCCCGCCGCGCCCGAGCCCCTCTCCACGGCCAGGGGTGGCGGCGACGGCGCCCGGCAGAGCGAGGAAAACGGCGTGAAAATCGGCCCTGCTGCGCGTGCCCGGCGGGGCTCCCGGCCGYGCCTCGGCGCCTCTCTGCTGACTGYGCAGGGGCTCCCGGTTCCGCGGAGAAGGAACCGAAGAAAACCCTTCAGTGGCTTTTAGAGAGCGGCTCTGAGTACTGTCGGTGCTGACTGGTAATTGTAACTTTTCCTGGCACCTCTTTCTGTGTTTATTTTGCCTTTATCGCGTGTGAATTGTAATTATCGTATAAGCTGCTGTCGGTACTAATACTGTTGAAAACATGCGATATGCCTGATTTTGTTCTTTTTTTTTAAAATTTTTTTAAACTTCTCATTTAATATGATACCTTTTCATTCCTTTTTTATTTATTTATTTATTTATTTTTAAGAAGGCTAAGTCTCTGTTCCTGCAATGGATACATGCCTGGGGAAAATGGCAGAGCTGCTGGACAATGATCAGTTTTTGGAAAAAGTGGGGTAAGGTACTATTAGAAAAGTCTTACTGGGAGTTTATAAGTAAATATGGAATAAATAATTGTAGGCTGTATAAACTGCGCGCTGTTTGCTCTGAGGTGTTTCTAGTGCATCAGATGGAGCGTGTCAGCAAACGTCAAAATGTGATCCTGTGTGCAAACTTTTATAAAAACTTTGTGTYAATGCAGGGATGTTACTGGGTGCATAATCATGCCATAAAACTCTTGTCCTGTAGGGTGAGCACCAAGTCCTGTGTGCCGGGTGCCCGCCCGCCGTGGCAGGGCAGTGCAGTGGCGGAGCTGGACGTGGATAACGGCCTCGTGGTGACGCACATCAACCAGGCRCACGATCTGCTGGTAGGGCAGCTCTCCTGCGAAGCACGGAGCAAAGCCTCTTCCCAAGCAGCTTCTCACACTGCGTTTGCATTTCTCATTTGGTCTCTAGAGAGTTCATATGATGAAAAATCAGTCTAAAAAAGTGCAAACCACAGAAGAGTGGCTCAGAAACTACAGTTTAGAATCCTTGCAGTTAACACTAGAGCATCTAGTGAATGAAGGCAATGTTATTTTGTAAGTACAATGCTGCCTTTTCTTTACAATCAGTCCTCATTTGCGTGCATCTCTGATGCTAACTATGCATAATGTTCTAGGGACTCGAGAAATGCTGCTGAAGAGATAGCGTTAACAGAAGAGACGATTACTGATTTTGAGTCCAGACTTTCTGAGTAAGCATGTGTCTTGTTTAGGATATTGAATTGTCACTGTTTCTATGCTCCCTTCTTTTTTTTACRTACTCACTGGTATATACTTTTTTGATAATAATCTGGTGTCTGTAGGAATTTCGGACTATCTCAGTATTAATTCCTGTCTCCTGAGTTTTAGGGTAGGTAATAATTACATACCACCACTTTTTTTTTCATGAAGATAATTATAAACTAGGCTTCAACTGAAGCAAAAGGTCATGGCAGCTACTGAATGGTTGGATTTCCCAGGTARTATAATACATCTGTGGACAATAACATTGCTTGTGACTTGGATTAGGATTAGTTTTGACCTATCAATCCAATTGTGAAAGGCAGCATTGCATGGTTTTCTGTTCAGTGTATGAAATACTGATGGGAGAAGGAAGGGAAAACCCTGTTTGGACGCTGAAGTTTTCTAAGTGAATTTTAAATGTATGAAATCAAAGACACTTGTA